ATAGATAGATAGATAGATAGATAGATAGATAGATAGATAGATAGATAAATAGATAGATAGATAGATAGATAGATAATTTCAATATACAAATGTGTTCATATATATGTATATGTATATATACACGCATCCCCTCAATGAAAGGTTCAACCTTCCTTCTGGCGTACTAATACTACCCTGCAATACTCGATTCGAGTCTTGTGGAGACGTCTAACAACTCAAACATGTTGTTGGATGAAGGTGCGGACCAGTTTCATATAAAGTGCTACTCCCTCATCTTTCATCATCTGTCTACAGTTGCCCAAGGTCCAGTAATTAGTCACCACCCATTCCCACAGCAATCACCAGGCGTCACTCACTTGGCAATGCGTTTCTCACCTGGGCCCAGCTGGCCCGTCGCAGCTCGTCCAGCACTGCCAAACCTATGCAGGTGAAGGGAGGTACAGGAGCCGCTTGCATGTGGTGGGTGCATGTGAGCCTCATTACTATTGGCTCAGAATTCCTGATATTTCTGGGTGGAATATTTGGACCGTCCAAATATTTGCACATGACGCGGGACAAAGTGGGAGAGCACTGGAGTCCTGCTTAGCCATCACAATAGGTGAATTTGTGCGTGAATGTTGTTTAATGTTCCCCCCCTAAGGAGTTTGTGGCAACACATCCACAACACTGGAAAGGGGAATGCTGAATCACCGTATGTGTGTGTGTGTCCAGCTACACTGAGAATAGTTACCTATCCCATGGATCAGTGAATTTACGTATTATCAATATATATATATATATATCGTATCTGATTTCATATTCTGTGGACCCCACAGTTGAGTCTTGCAGAGTCACAAATGGGTTCAAGCTACTGTGAGTAGCATGGGGATGCGTCACAAATGATTCGCAGGTGATCCTCCTCACGAGTCTAAGAGCTTGGAGTTTGCAGTGGGGTCAAGACAGCTGCAGTCGGAGGAGCGCTTCTCTTTGGTCAAAGATGGCCTCAGTCATGGAAAACCGAGGGGGGTTCCAGTTCCGGCATCCCCAAATGGAATCTGCAAAAAGGGTTGGGAATATGTGCAACTTCTTCTGCCAGCTTTCTCACAAACATGTTGAAAAACAACCATTAACTAGGACCAGGACTCTGCCCACATAGACCCTTCAACTCAGGACGGTGGCCTGAACCCTTATGCACTCATGTTCACTACCCCCCGATGCTCGACCGAGCCCCGCTTTTTCCGTGCGATACGACCGACCGACCAAAAAGAACGGCTGCACATCGAACAAAAGCTGACCCCCTCAGATCCCAGGAACATAAATGTCAGCCTTGTTTTTCCACCTCTGATTTTGTTTAGTGGAGAAACATGGAGAAACCAATCCTGGGTAGGTCAAATAGGAATTCATTCTCCTGCCACCCCGATGAACAGCTCTTGTTGGGTCGTCTGCCTGACTCTGTCGGCTGGGATATGGAACAAGATCCTTCGAGTCTTGGTGGGGATTCTTGTGGATTCTGCTCGGAGCAAGGTGCGGCGGCAGACCTCGTCCTTCCTCGGCACGAGATCGGGATGTGCAATGCCGTGGACCAGCGGGCTGGGAAAGCGGACCAAGCTACCAAGCAGTACGAACAATGGACTCAGGACCCGAAAAAATATCGAATCGAATCCAAGTATTGTGGCCCAAGAAGTCCCTATACCAGGCAGCTGCAGTGTTTCAGAGTTCTTGCTGACACTGGCTGGTTCTGATGCTCAAAATTGATTAGGCCAAATGAGCCCAAATCGTGTCCACGTCTTGCGAGATTCTGCAGAAGACTACGGCTCAAATCTGCATGGCCTTTGCTAAGTGAAAGTGGATCGTCCAGTTCATCATGAATCATGAGATATCAAGCCATCCACTTCACAGGCAAGTGGATGGACATGGCCTTGCCCATGTTGGAGTCAAGTCCCTCCCAAAAATGTAGCTGTTTGAACGTATTCAGTTCGTCAATCTTCTGTGCTGGTCTTCTGTGCTGGATCCATCATATAAAATCATACAATATATATATATACTTCAAGAACCCTAAAGTTTACGCTTCTTACTCTGTTCCAACATGACACTTGCGGTCTACAGCGGATCGGACTAACACGTCCATTTTGCGTGGCGGGTACAGCACGGTCAGCTTTCCACACCCGTTTAAATTTGTAATATTTATAAGGCTTTCAGGTGTGGAAATCTGACCGCAACTGAGGTGTCGACATGTTGCGCGTAGGATTCTAAGGGGAAAGGGTTTGTGATGTTTTAGAAGTCAAGAAGCGCAACTTTTGGCACCCCAGTGCGTTATTACTAGGTATTAGCCTTGTGTTTACAACCAAATCATGAGAAATGTCGTCAGGTTCGACATTAACGTTGTCCGGTTATAAAGTTAAGAACAAATAAACATATAATCAAAGTTATATAATATGTTTCAAGCGAGTTGATATCAAAATTATGGAACTTATGTTATTTCCAGCACCTTCTTAA